CTGAATGCAAATATCCAATGTGGTTATAGGGAAAATAGACGTACCATAGACCACTTGTTTAGACTGGACATGTGTGTGAAGAATGACATTATTAACACACATCATACCGTACCAATATTTGTCGACCTGGAAGAAGCCTACGATCCAATAGTGCAGGGACTTGTGTAATTCCGTGGGAATTTCATGTTAATTTTTGGAACCAATACTAATTGTAATCACTGTTGTGTATGGATTCAGGAAAAAACATGGTTCCATTTTTTTCTGTTTGCTATAAGTGTCATTGTGGGGTGATTGAATATGAGTTACCAGAAATTCCTTGCGACACCATTTCGAGAAAAACATGTTTTCATAAACCTATCACCAAATAGTCATGTAGCGTATCAAAATGCAGCTTATGATGCATGATATAGAAATAACCACATAATATGCTTCTAATTTCAATTTGGTGACATAAAATATGGCATAATTATATTGTATTAATCAAATGTTGCCTTAATCGGACACCAACATTGTAAGTATTGACCTATATCAATGGAAAACATTTATTCAATGTATTCTCCCTTTTCATAATATATACTACCATGACACAATTATGTAGTAATAATAGTACCCAGGTAAGGTTAATGTGACTATCATAATGTGACTATCATGCACAAGTGTCAAATCTGGACTATCATTACAGTTAGAATTAACACACTGACACTCGTGTTTGGGTAATTAAATGACAAATGACATAAAACCAAATGTGCAGTCAATATAAACTGAATGTATTAAATACATAGGAGTGACAAATTATATCACAGTGAACTGATAACTACATATTACAAGTGGGGTATGCAAGTACAATATATAATGTGCACTAGTATATTTATTTTAACTTTCACATTGTTAAGTAACTTGCATAGTCAGTCAATCCGTCATTAACCTGCAAGAACAAAACATGCTTTTGAAAAACAAGCTTCGACATTATTTGTCATACAAACACAAGCATGAATTCTACGCATATTTGTTCCTTAATTTGGAAACTAGAACGGCCCTCGTTAGAAAACATGCCTCCGCCTTGCAGAGCAGTCTCCTTTCACTATGACATTTTTAAAGTACTAGTGTGTACTTGTACTTTAATGTACTTTCACTAAACCGTACGCAAATAGCCCTTGTGTCATACCTAACATAACCACCAAGATTCATTCAAATCCATCCATAACTTTTTGAGATATTATTCATGTTCTCCATTTATTTAACATCGCGAATATTTTCAAAGTACCTCTGCGTACATATAATTTTACATACACTTTTAAAAAACAAACAAAAGAAACGCAAAATAAAATTTCAAAATAATGATCGAAAGTTTTAAAAAATATGTCAAATTAAGAATGCTTTGAGGGTTGAATATTGTTGGTTGGCTGTTGGTTTAGAAGAACGTGTAGCGAATGCAACCATAAACGATTGATTTTGAATGGTTCTGTCGATCATGATTGTCATGATAAGCTTGACTGTTATGGAACACAACCAAAAGCCACTATTATTGCTTTTCACGTTCAAAGCAGGAGTACAAGCTATGGCTATAAAATACCCAAATGCATCTCGCAAATTCATGCAAGACCCATGCAAATACTGGAAGAGAAAATGGGACGTCTCAACGGTGCCCACCTCAATATTGCCACTGGTCAATTACAAGCTGGCGAATCTAAGAGTGTCGTGGCGAGGACCTTCAGCATTCTTCCCAGCACAATAACTCGTTTGTGGGATCGTTTTGTGCATTCCATTTCGACAAATGACCATCCAAGACCAGAAAGACCGTGAGTCACCACACCTGTCCAAGATCACTACATCCGGGTAACCCACCTACGTGACTGCACAAGGACGGTTTGGAGCTCGGAGAATGTCCGACCAGACAATCAGGAACCGTCTCCGAGAGGTAGGTATGCGTGCCTGACGTTCAAAAGTTGCCCCCTCTCTGACACGATTACATCAACGTCCGCGGGTCAGGTGGTGTAACGCGGTGCAGCCATGGAATCTTGGAAACTGGAGGCACGTATGGTTCAGTGATGAATCGCGGTATCCCCCTCAAGCGACGTGACGGAAGACAACGTGTCTACAGACCACGCAATGAATTGATTTGGTGGAGGTGGTGTGATGATGTGGGGAGCCAGCTCATACACCTGTAGATCGGAAATGGTGCTCGTCCAAGGCAATCTTACGGCCGTTCAATATATCTACCAGATCATCTGTCCTCACGTGCATCGCCTTGTCGACCGCCAAAGTGAGCTATACCAACAGGACAACGCCTGACCTCACACAGCACTTGCTACAGTTGACTACCTGGACAATAACAACATCAATGTCCTCCCCTGGCCCTCCAGATCTAAAACCAATTGATTACCTGTGGGATCAGATAGATAAACGTGTATGTCAACGTCGTAATCCGCAATTAAGGCTTTCAGAGTAACTGTTGTTCATAATGCTGCAGGAGGAATGGAGAAGGATTCCACAAAGAAACATCCAACAACTGCTTCAATCTGTATCAAGGAGGTGTCGTGCAGTTCCAGCAGTAAGAGGTGGTCATGCAAGGTAGTAACGTCAACGTCTCCTCGTGGACAGCAGTAATGACTATGATGACTATCATTCTTGTGAAATGTGCACGAGATACAAATGTATTGCTCTACATAATTTCAATGCTGGACCGTTTATTTTCGTTGATTTACATAGCTGAATAAGACCAAATTGTTCAATGATATTTGGCTTTTGCGTTTCTTTTTTTTAAGAGTATACTTTCTTCACCATCTAATTGATTTGTCCTGGGGACATACCCAAGAGATCTAGTAAGTTTCATTGAAATCCATCTAGTAGTTTTTGAGTAAAGATGCTAACACATAAATATATACACAAACAGGGTTGAATGCATACCCACTGCAACAAACCTTCGGTTTGGGCAGAAGCAATTATGATCATATTGATTATTATGAGATATATTATTGAGATTCATAATATATAAAGGTAGTTGTAAAACACACATCACAGGGTACATTTGGATATACTACATGCCTATGCTGTGATAGGTTTATAAAAATACGTCTTTCTCACATTGCTGTTGCAGCTCCATTATGGGTACCGATGGTCAGTTACCCCAGAATGACACTTATAATCATCATAAAAAATGGAACCATGATTTTTCTGAATCCATATGCAATACTGATTACAAGTATCAGTGGTTCCAAAAATTAACATGTACTTCCCACGGAAAGCAGTTTTGCTACATAAGCCCCTGCACTACAACCTGGAAACATGGAATTTTAACAGATCTTAATCGAATGGGTTTGAGAGGTCGTTTTTATATCGCTGTTTTAGCAAATAGCCATTTTCAATTTCCTGTGCGATCAACCCTTTTTGATTTTTCTTATGAAGATCAGGATGTACCACAAGGCAGCATATTGTCGGCAACGTTGTTTAGTAAACAAATAAATAGCTTATCTAAAATTTGTCCTAAAATAGATAAGTAGTATTTTATAAATGGTAGTTTTGATATATTATCAACTGAGATTGTTAGTGGCTGTATCCTCAAAGGGGGTTATATTATTGTAAAATTATTGTCCTCCTGAGAGGAAACGAAAGTCCCAAAACATTCAAAGTACATGCATACCTACCAACTTTTTTTAAAGCGTAGTATTTCTGCGATTTTAAGTTTTGGCTAAAATTTCCTACAATCACTAGCTGTTGAAGGGATGGTGTAAATCCAACTATGGTACGTGCAGCTGCAAGTAGCAAAGTCCCCATGGTCCCTGGTATGGTGATCTACTTTCAGTTGCTGGCGATCTATAGCCCATTTCTAGAATGTGTTCTCAATTAACAGTTTACTATTTTATATGCTCCCAAACTAGTTTTAGATAACATGTAATGTACAAGTTGTTGTACTGTCCTTTGACGACAAGAAGTTACAACATTTAAAAATATTTCATACATTTTTTGCTGTATAATGTTCTCTCGTCACGATGTGGCTGAAATATTGCCCTTATTTTTTCCGACACAAGGGATACGCTTTTTAAAGTGTCGTCCATGAAGGATCCTTTTAATAATATTAGGTTTTATTTGATTCTTGATTTTGTAAAAGCATTAGAACTGTTTGAAAAAAATTGATTTATATGTTTTGTAGATAGAAGTATGTGATTTTTACTTGGTAGTGTAAATTAGCAATAGTGATTGTTAGTGGCTGACCTCTAAAAGAGGGTTAAAGGGTACGTAAGTCCCGAAACATTCACAGTACATTTAGGTCAACCAGGGTTTTAACAGTAGAATATTTTTTTATTTTACGTGGTGGCTAGATTTGACAATGGCCACCTGAAGGAATGAGCAAAAGTACTGGCATTACTTGTTTTAGTCAGGATGTGCATGAGATACTGACTACTCACCAACCTTTTTATGACATGTATCAGACAGTGAGTCAGTGAAATGTATAAGAAAATAGCCAAAATGCGTGCATGAAATGAGGTAAATCAGGGAATTGCCCAACAATGTTCTATTTGTAGATAGTTTGTACTTCGTAAATTTGCCAAGGTAAAGTTCACAGGAAAACACGCAGCTCCATTATCCTACAGCTATTGAAAAACATGTTCAATTTTTAATGCATGTCAGCCATACAGACACTTTGTAATTATTTATGTTATCTATAGAGTTGTGACGATATACCGTAGTATCAATAATCGTGATATTTTTTCAGACAATAAATATATCGATTCTTTTTTCCGTATCGTGATATGTATCGTTGACCTTAAAATTGTGACTTTTCACCAGAAATTGACGGTTATGTCAAACTTTACACTGTTTCTTGTTATCAATATACCCTTTTTAAAAGAAAATAACTAACTATAGCATATCGTGATATGCATCGTATCGTTCCATGATATCGCAATACGTATCGTATCGTGAAATATCTGTATCGTCACACCTCTAGTTATTTATAGATATGGCTATGAAAATCTAAATTAACGCTCAAATGCTTCCAGCAATGAAGACGTTTGGAATCCTGGTTGCAGTATCATTGTTCCATACAATATCGGAGGACTTCTTCCCTCAGCTGTACACGATAGGCACACATTATCAGATTGGTCACAGTGTGGTACGTTGTGGTGTTTGTTATACATTTGACAAGACTAGTTTCATTTTATAAATACAGGAAGTAACATATTTCATTCTTACACAACCCCTATAAGAGGATGCTTTTGTTTTATTATGCAAAGACATATATTTGTAACTATGTCCTAACTGAACAGAACTCCTTGGTAATGGTGGAGAACTTAAGGTTAAGGTATATTCTTGTGAAATAATAAGATATCATTACCAACGGGTTCACGGATGTATTTTTAGATGTGTTATATTCCAGGGAAGGACATTCCGAAAGGTGATTCACGAGGTTTATAATCAGAGTAAATCTTTGGCGGAAATCACTCAGTTCATACAAACAGAGGCAGGGAAAAGGGTAAGCTTCTTACTGTCTTTAGTGATCAAATTTAAGTGCGATTAGACTAAGTTTAACTTTCTTAGCCCATGCGAGTAAATAAACATTCATCACCTGCTTGATACCGGAACATCTACACCGCAACGTCACAAATATTCCAAAGAAACAATTGTCAATCCATAAAACTGCTTCTTCATATTCACATTCTTTCTATTAAGTATTTACATATCATTTATGTAGTCACGTCTGAGGCAAATGACAACACCACCCACCCCACACCCCCAAAGCGACTTTCCACGAAGCTATAATATTTAGTGCTGTAACGATGCATCGAACTATCGATGGATTGTAATTGTTGAATCCCCGATAGCAATTAATCGATGGTGGAAGCGAAAAACTATCGATACATCGATAGTATGTGTGACTATCGATAGTTTAGAAATTGACTACCGTTGATAAATGCGCAGCGCAAAATACACGAAGTACCAGCTTCGTTCATTTCGATTTAGAGATATCCACCCCTGATATCTCTTAAACACACATGGCGGCAAGCACGGTATACGACTCGGAGTTTGAAATTGTGAATAACCATACGTTTTTATATTAACTGTTTACTTGACCTGGATTTCAAGTTGCTTGTCAGTTATTAAAAGAGACTTAACTACTTTGACTTGTTTTTATTTCATATAAACTAAACATTCAATTGGGTGAGGTGAGGTGATTCAAGGAGAAAAAAAACTATTTCAATAGCAATATATGCTGCAATAGACTAACGCTGTCGCAATAGTTGTTTCCCCCTCAGTAGTTACCCCTAGTAATACTATTAGTGGAGCGGCTTGATGAAATATATGTTCACATCTGGCAGGTTAGCTGAAGTTGGCATAGACAAAGCTTAAAGAGCCATAATCATAAAGCAAGCAGGAGGCACCAGTTTTGGAAATTGCAAAAAAGGCCAAAGGGCAAAAAAGCAAAAACATGTGTTTTTTGCATATTCATAATGTTTGAGAAGACATTAAAAACCTTAGATGTTTAATTCACAATGATAATGTGAGTTAAATGGAAAATCTTAATTTACAGGCAGTACTTCAAGGCTTTTACTCGCTGCAACTGCTCAATTTACTGCACACAGTGTCCAGAACGGGAACGTAATTGTGTGCACCGAAGACCCGCTTTGATACATTTACACCGTAAACTGCAGTAGGCCTTACGTCCACATATGATCAGTTCTCTACACACTTTTGCTGCTTCAGGCAATGTAGTCCATTTGGGAACCCATCATATCTCTTCACGAGTGCAGACCCATTCAGACGCACAGGGGCGTGTCACCCTTAGAAACAGCGTTAGAAAGACATATAGGTATATAGACCCTACCCTAGTACTATATATATGAAAGGAAAGGGATGTAACGACGGAACCACCCCTCCTCAATCTAAGTTAGATTTCACCACGAAAACTTTTTTTAAGGCCCCGTCGAGGCCTACGGATCAGAAGCGAGATGAGTTCCCTACAAAATGAGCTATAAATGGTCACAATCGGATCATTATTTCAAAAGCCACGACTCACCGAAAACAGCTACCTCCGCAATTCCAAGCCAAAATCATGGATCACCCAAGACAACGAAAACTCACCTTTTAAATTCGTTTATTAATTCCAGCCACGTTGACAGCACCTATGTAGGGCTAGATTCGATCGGCAGCGCCATGCCACGGGTCTAAAAACTTATTGCAACATCTACAAATCATTTACTCGACAGTAAGCAGACATTTTCTCCAAAACCATCGGCAATCATACTCACTTGTCGGCAAAACGCGTTGCGGGGGATAAAAATGGTGAATTTATTGTGCTTCGGTCACTAGTGTTTCAATTATAGCAATTTCATTAGTCAATAAAATTAAAACTGGACTCAATATAGCCTGCCTCCTAATCATTTTATGTTCAGACTACCATAGGCTATCTATGTGCAAAATATGACCTTTCCTGCCACCAGGTATCAATTTTGAAAATAATTGTGACCAAGCCGCTCTACTGTATTGTTCTTGATTACACAATGTAATTTTAGAAAGTGGTCAAATGTAACATATGTTATATTTGGGATTACACTTTCTTAGTAAAGTCCAACTTTATGAGAGAATTTCTGTCTAATTCGTATACAAGAGTACTTATTGAGCTACGAACATAATAACATGGAATTGGGATTCATAACTTTGTACGCCTATGTCAGGTACATACCTATGGCAAAGTCAAAGGAAAATCCATCCCCTCCATTTTGAGACTAAGTCGAAATCGGTTCAAGAAGAATACGTAAATAGCAAAAGGCACCACTTTGGGAACTGTTTGATATATCTGCCAAGTTTTGTTGAAATGTATTGAACGGTTTTCGAGTTGTGCTCCGGAAACGACACCTATCTTCATTTCATCTAAAGCTCTGTTCGCATGGAACCCAATTTGCACATGTGTAAACTTGCACCCTAATGTATATATACATACGTATGCAAAAGCAAATTTGCTATGCGTTCGCATGAAGAAAAAGGGGTTCGTGTATTGTTAGGTGAGTAAACAACTTGTTGCCATGTGATCATTCACTCTCTAACCTTTGCCATGGAAGGATACCGAAGAAAATTTAGGAGACAGTTCCCTTGTCACTTAAGTTTGGCTCTGATTGGTGGATTATATCATGAGAAGAATGTATGGAAGATTCATAGACCAACAATCTGGTGGGATCATATCTACAGCAACACAGAATGGATTCAGAATTTCCGAATGCACAGAAACCTGTTTCAAATACTCCATGACCAGTTGAAAGTCTACCTTCAACCGCAAGATGGATGGGTTAGGTCCCCAATTTCATCAGAGAAAAAGCTTGCAGTAAATGTGTATTGGCGCGCCTCTACTGGAGAATACCGTACTGTGGCTAATCTGTTTGGCGTGGGCAAATCAACAGTATATGACTCTATACACCAAGTATGCCAGGTCCTAGTGGATCACTTAATGGAGACCTACGTTATCTTACCCAAGGATGAGGAGCTGGATCTTGTGATCCAAGGTTATGAAAGGCGATGGAATTTTCCAAACTGTGCTGGTTCCATAAATGGCTCACATATACCAATCAAGTGTCCCAAAGAAGCCCATGGCGATTACTTGAACAGAAAAAGCGCTTACTCAATTGTAATGCAAGCCTTGTGTGATCATCAGTATGTATTCCGTAATATTAACATCGGTTGGCCAGGCCGTGTCCATGACACAAGAATCTTTGTAAATTCGGAAATCTTTCACAAATGCGAGTCTGGAAAACTATTTCCTCAATTTCATAAAAGGGTAACCCTCCCAGGAAGAGATTTTAACCTCCCAACTGTTATTCTCGGAGATGGAGCCTACCCTATGACGAAATGGCTTCTGAAGCCATACAGCAACAGAGACAGTCTGACGGAGGAGCCAAAGGTATTCAACTACAGGCTCAGCAGGGCTTGAATGACTGTGGACAATACCTTTGGTAGGTTGAAAGGCCGTTGGCGATGTTTATAAAAGTGTTTGGACGTGGAAGTAGAGTTTGCATGTACCGTTGTTGGTGCATGTGTTACACTACATAACATCTGTGAGCTAAATCATCAAGGATACGACGAGTCTGGGAGAGAGGAAGATGACAAGGGTGATGAGTGTGAGGTCCGTGATGTTGATAATCTCACCTCAGGCAAACTGTTGCGTCAACATCTGATAGAAGCCTTCTTTCTTGGACTACATTAAGGCTAGATAGCCTTGAATGACAGAAGAACAGTACAAATTGAAACAAATTGCCATACTAAGGACAGTTGTTGTACTCCATATATTTGTAAACATTCTGTTTTCTTTTGTTCTTTTGTCCAGAATATAGCATATTTGATTCAGACTGAGGATAAAATAGTTTGTGGGTTTGTGGATTTGCTGTTTCCCTAAAAGTTCATAACTGAGTGTATGTAGAGAAGACAGTTTCATTACCAGAGATTTTCTTAAAATCCAAAGACGGTAGAGTGCTATGCTACACGTGACTATAGTGTAGTATCACCCTGGGTGTTGATAGTGGCGTTAAACTTCACTTCACTCATTCATAAAATCATTTTAGATGAAATTATTCAGTTCATTTAATAAGGTTGTAGAATCGTATCTCTTTCATTTACCTTAATTTCATAACTACGTTCAACGGCTGAAATGAGTTCCCTGCATTTTGAAAGACAATTACAAATAATTCAGTAGAAATAAATTTTATGAACTTCCAGAGAAAAGTAAACTTTGAAGTAATACCAAAATACCTTTAATCTAAACATATTATCGCAACTATTTTTGCTACAGAATAAGTGAATAATTATCTTTGAAGCTCCCTGAAAGAGCAAAATAAAGTCATGTTTTCTGGTCCACTGATGAAAGGTAATGAATCTATTGTTAACCACATCATACGTCAGATTATGTTTGTTATTCTCTGATGATTCCAGCCGTCAAAATCATAAAGAAGGAACGACATCTGTTCTAGAATTATGATGTACGGTGACCACGTCGCCTTGGAAACTATTTGCATGAATTTCTCTGTATCTGGAAACAAGCATACACTAATATTATAAAGTCAAACAAACACTTAACATTTACGGAAGCTACAATGAAGAAGTTCATTTCACATGTTGTAATATGTGTTTCCACTAGTGTCATATGACACATCAGATCCCGGATCATCGCCACGTGAGGTTCCTGGAAAGTGGCCTTGACCTTGACCTTGACCCATCTTGACAAGAATCATGCGCATCATATTCAACTGATGATGGTTTGTCTCTCGGTGCATTCTCTCCTCTGACTCTCGATTACTTTTCTCCGTTTCGATTTTCAACTTTTCCATCTCTAGTTTCTTCATTTCAAGCTCAATTTTTCTATTTTCAAGGTTGACATACTTATCTTCAATCTTCTCGTTGCTTTTCGTGAATCCTGACGTTACAGTTGTCATGGCCACCTCAAGTTTGCTTTTCTTAGCTTTCATTTTCCATTTCTGTGAACTCTGACTTTGCTCATTATCTTTAGCTGAAAACATTGAGCGCTTTCACGGTGGCTGACTCTTTGGAAGAGCATCATCTTTTTCAAGGTAACCTGCTCTGATTCCAGGTCTTTTCTCTTGCTTATGGTCAGAAGGAAGAGGATTATCCCCTTTGTCAGCCTCTGTATCACCAGTAACCCCAGACACTTCTGCATCAGGACCAACCTCTGTATCACTAGAGACGTCAGTATCTATGTCATCATGGGTTTTATCTATTGTAGAGCTTTCAATAATCTTCACAGGAGAGGAGGCAGGTCGACATCCCAGTATTTCATCAAGTTTCTCAAAATGCTTGCAGAGTGAACGGCCTCTCCCACTCTTCTTCAGTTTTCCCTTACACATTCTGTAGCTTCTTTTGAGAGTGTGCATTTTGACCATTTTAGCATTGTTCTGGTGTCTTTTGAAATCCATAGTCCTCAAGGGCTGAAGAAATGGTCTTGCAAATACTTGTTTTGTTGGTTTTAGGGTCATCGAGGCTCTCCTTTACATGTAACTCTTGTCAGATGTTCAACAAGGCTAGTGTTTCATCGTCTGACCAGGACCCGCCCCGCCTCTTTACCCTCTCTGTCATTTTGGAAGTCTGAATCACGGAGAAGCACTGTGAGAGTGACGGCAACAATTCCCGCCAAAATTTTAAATAGATCTTATGCAATACTGGCCTATAAATAAGTTTTATGAAAGTTTAGCTTTCTAGACATATCTATTTTGCACACGTGTAAAGTTATTATGCGTTCGCATGGGCCAGTTTGCTTACCAAAATGTGCAAAATTATATTTACACTTAAGTCAAATCAGATGCAAATTTACTCCTAGTGCAAATTTGCACGGCGTGTAAATTGCGTCCGCATGGACCAATTTGCACATGTGTATTTTGTTTGCATACGTCTGTATATTTACATGGTGTGCAAATGGGTCCATGCGAACGGGGCTTTAATAAGTGTATCTTATTTCCATGAAAACTGGGAAAAATCAAATACTGGAAAATTCCTAAATATAAAAAGCACCACTTCAGGCCTTGGTAAATACATGTACCAGGTTTGGATGAAATATTGTTCATGGGTTTTCAAGTTCTGCTCCGGAAACGAAATCCACCCCCTCATTTTGAAACAAGGTCCAAATCGTTTCCCTGGAAATCAAGAAAAATAGAAATGCCAAAAATCTGTAAACAGCAAATGGGACCACATTCGGTTCGGTTTCTTATATATCTAAGAATTGTTGTTGAAAAATATTGAACGTTTTTTTTGCTATGCTCCGGGAGAGAAATGATTACGGATAAACGTACGGACAGACACACAGACGAGGCGTTGACTACATTCCACCGCCTTATATCCCCTCAAAAATCATATTGAGGTGTGGCTCTTCACAACCAAAATTGGCATGGAAAATTTAAGGAGGGTCCTTTCAAATTCCAGCTATCATAACTTTTAGATGTAACAAAATATTCGTTACCTGGTGTTTGTTTAGCTGCTGTAACAATTCTGTCTTAAATTTGCAATATTTTTACATTTTCGAAGAAAGAACAAACAAATCTCAGATTAATGGGCTTCAGTTCATTTTCTGTTGTTTATCAATTTCACAAAAGGTGTTTTTTTATGAAGTTCGACCGTATAGTTTATATGTGGTAGAGATGCAGGACATATTCCACGGTGGTCTGTGTTTCTTAAGTGTTTTGAGATCTGATCATTTTAAAGTACATGGCTTCATTTGGTACAAGGGATGGCAGGACATAAAGATGATTTTCTGTTCTGTGAATTAATGTTCTAGTACTGAGAATCACTTGCGATACATTATTCACCTTTCACTGACTTGAAAAAGATTTCACAACGATCGAGGCACTCATTTCATAAAGGATCCCATCATAGTTCTCAATATTTCAGCTGCGACTTACTGTTATTGTTAGTAATTGCCGTGACAAAATTTTTAAGAGGCCCCTTTGAACCAGCAAAATAGAACACAGACAAGTCTAAAATATTCAATAATATAACAAACAATGAGCAAACTACAATGAATGACAATACAGACTTCTGGTACAATGCAGTTGAGTCACAAATCTAACATATTGGGTCACAAATATAAAATATTAACTCACCCGGGTCTTTACATTTACAGTGAGAGCAGATATACTGATTGAAGATTGTTTACAATGACAACAGTTGAATAGGCAAGCACGGTCAGTCTTGAATATTGAGCAAATTCGACGATGGCAGATAGATGTACATAGCTCCAGTCATATGAAAAGTCCGCCGCACAACACAACAACCAGCCTTTATATAGCTCTTACACAGTTTTCAAACATTCTCGCAAAACTAGGCTGCATCATTGTTCTCTCAGAAAACATCCGAAGTGACGAGAGACGGAGTCAAAACAAAATACATTGTGCAAGGGAGGCAACTCTGACGCGCTTCAAATACTACTGCCATAGAACATATATGATGCGAGATGTGAGCCAAAACCCATACTCAAAACTAGTGACCCATAATAACTATCACTTACTCAATGATAATATAAATTACAAAAAAAAAACCACTCTCATAACATTACTAAAAATGAAACGTGTGTTTCAGTATTACAATGGGTACTTGGAGACTGTGTCGAAAATATTCCCTGAGTACCTGTACGAGTTGACGGGTCTGACGGATGGAGCAGGGGTCAGTTTCATTCAGGTATGTGTACATGTATGGGTGTGGGTGGAGGTAGGGTTGTTTGGTGCAAGTGTGTGAGTCCTAGTTTTTACACCACTGTTAATGTTGCACCCATAGCACATTGACTTCATGGACTGTCAACCGTGCACATTAAACCAGTGCCTGTCTAGATCAGTTTCTGGATCAAACCAAGCTTCGCGTTGAGCAAAACACTTTACAAGGAAAAGCGAATGGTCTTCCTGAGAAAAAGCACCAATGCAATAAGTGGGTAGAATGGTCTGTGATTCGTTTAGAAACCACTAGTATTCCACCTTGAAGGCATAGCAAGATGTGAAATAAAGACGTGTCTGCTAATTGACAGGCTTTTTCTTCCATGATCACACCTGAAATAGCGGCAGTGTTGAAAATGAAGGGGGCACAGTCCTGCAGCGATGTTTATGTTGCGGACCAACAGGTAGGTAACTGACCATGGCCATGAGAAATCAAAGTGCGTTCAGGTGGGTTTGAAGTAAACTTTCCCAGGCGCAGTCATTTGAGCCTGCTGACAAATCTTGTGGTAAGAATATATTGGTACTCATGCAAGACATTTTGAAATCAATATTTCACATTCCCTAAAAATTATTCATCCGAGATCAAGCAGGACATTAATCAGCAGAAGACAGATGAATAACGATAATAATGGAAACGACTCCTTAGTGTGTGAGCATGCATATCTGATCAAGTGGTTATCATTGAATGTATTAAAATACCTTACGATTCGAATACTGCAAGGCTTCGGTTTTCTTTCCTATGATTGTGAGTGTCGACGCCAGTACTTGTCATCCTCAGATTGCCATCGGTCACAATGAAGACTCACCAGAGCCGGCTGTGAAAGGGAGAGTGTTTATGGTCCATGCAACTATAGTGGATCACAGTGGCAGTGTACTAGAGAAATTCTCATCACTTACTATTCCAGGTAGTACTCCTTAAAACGTATCTATATACGTCTACTTCACACTGACCCTGATGATAACGAACACATTCTAGCCACATGAAGGGACAACTAGCCACGTTTTCTAGTGATTGAGACTCAAGATAAGACACCACTTAATTTGAACCCTATTGCAATATCGAAAGGTTTATTGCTAATTGAATGTAGCAAGAGGCAGCAAGCAACAAACCTGATGACTACCAGTCTCTGTTCACTTAACACTAAATACGAGCAAATCCGTCGTACGGGTCTAATTGTTTGGTAGTATGTCAGAAAATTACATTGTCTCAGAGATGAAAGATCAAGGATCTACTCATCGTCACTCAATTCACGACCAGTAGACAATGAAACTCTTGAAACAAACACCTATCTGTTCTTTTCATCTCCAAAATCACTAAATGCAGGTTACTGTAGCATCATATTGACACCTACATTAGAAGTTGTCTTAAGCCAAAGTCTTTGAACAAATATTAGTTTTTTCGACGCCAAGAAACTTATCCAATTATCGGAACATAAAGAAACGTATGCTACATTTACCAGAACACCATCTGAGATAAACCTTAACGTATTCAAATCATCCACAATCGGTCAAATAGACTTGACGGCAAAACCGATTCACCACAGGTTTTGTTCCCTTAAATGTCTTCTCAAACTGCGGAATCACAAATTGAACAAATTTATGACACTATTTCTGACACCATACAGTGATTATAAATCTGTTATTAGCCCAGGAACATTTACAAGAAAAATAGGGTTATTTTAAGACGATTTTGTATTGTCCATTTAAGATATACTTATGAATATTCATCACAAGGCGAGGGACCTCTATTTTGCATCCTCTGTCGTGAAAGAATCACAGTCAAGCATGTTCTGTTTTACTATTGATTTTCCAGCACAATGTTGAAATGATCATCTTTGAAGAATCTTCTTTATAAACTAGCAACCGCCATCAGATGGAGGGAACAACAGAGTGCTATAATTTGATAATGGTCTGATATGACAGCTTAAGACAATGGTGTGTGCGTGTGTGGTTTGATATACACGGGTATACACAATATGACGTAACTCAGCGAAGAGGGGGTAATACCCTGACTCTTTGTTGTAGCTTGCCATACATCATACACATAAAGATATGTTTATAGAACAAAGATGGAATTGCCTGTATCTCTGTGTATGAAGTTATGGTTGAAAATGGTTGTTTCAGGTCTGCTGTCTGGAAGTGCCTTCAGTTTCAATGGAGACGGCAAAGTGTTCACCAACAACGCTTTGTTTCCTGTTACTGTTGAAGCAGACAAAATACGTAAGAGAGCTGGCTGATGTAAACCCCAGCTGAATGTTCCCAAACCCCACTATAACTCATGCGTCTAGTTAAATTAAGATGTTCTCCAAAGTAGTGATATGACTTCCAGTTTTATATAACGTACAAGTCACAATTGCAGCGTGGCTCCATCTACCGATTTAACCCACCTTTAATATACAATTCTCTAGCAAACACCACCTGCCTTTGATATCTGCATTTCAGATTGTTTGAGATTTAATTCACCAAGGCCTTTCTTCGAGTTTTGTTCTGTTCATTATCAAGGTTACTACACTCAAAGTCCCAGTAAAGGTTTTAAAGGAAATGTTACAATTTATTTCGGTGTTTGTTTAGGTGCAAGCGAACGGCATCTCCCACAGAGCAGGATACATTCACATTTTCGAAAACCAGTGGAGATCAATGTTTGGAAAATCGTTTTCTTGGATAATTTCAGGCAAAATCGTGCTTCTCAGCTTCGTGTTTCAGCTCGTTACTTCATGAACAGAGCTGTGTTGGGTGTGACGTCACAGAGGGATCTTGAAAACCTGCTGGAGGGTTCGGGTGTCGGAGTGGCATATGGGTTCAAGTAAGTGGAGTAGTGAGTTAAAATTCAGCCATATTTTGACTATATCAAGTTATACATTTATAATAATTATAGGTGAATTATAAAAATACTGTCAGCGAAGGACAGTAAAACAACAAGTTTATCACAGATGTAAATTTGTGAAACTAGTATATAAGGACATTTAAAACATTTCAACTATACAAAACTTTACAAGACGATACAATATAAAAAAAACAGGCTATAGATTGCCAACAACTGAAGGAAGATCACCATACTAGGGACCATTGGGACTTACAGTACATTTGCTTCTGAATGGACCTCAGCTGGATTTATACCATCTCTTCAACTATTGACAGTTTTAGATAATCTAGCCATAAATTAAAAACCATATACGATTAAAAATATACTGAAAGCCATTAAAACGCAATTGGTATTTGTTGTCCTGAAACAAAAGTTCTATTGAAGATTTTTTCCTGCGAAACAGAGGATGTAGGGATAAAAGGCTGTTATTCTGGCCCATTTCGAGTTCGAGTCCCGGAGCATTCCTCTCACGTGAACTTTGATACTTAAAACTGAACCTTTGACATTTCTCGTAAACACAACCACATTCATGAAACACGTTGTGCACATGCATTACCTGCACCCAGGCCCTGTAAAAGCACAAGGAATTGTGGAACTCAATCACTTTGAGAAAATGCCACATTTGACTCAAGACGAAAGGAATCAGGTTATCGGTATGGTCAGCCAAGGTGCTTCAGATGGGATGATTGCCAGGCACTTTAATGTGCATCCATCCACTGTAAGTCGACTCAGACAACGTTTTCGGGCTACCGGAAGTGTTGCTAATCGTCCGCGACCTGGTGCACCACCTGTGATAACAGCTCGACAAAACCGCAATATCCGAGTTTCACACTTGCGAAATCAGTTCCACACAGCTGATGATTAGGCAAGGAGGACAATTGGGACAAGTCAACGTCATTTCAGCGCCCAAAAGGTGCAAGGACGCCTTGCTTATTGCAAGGACCTTATTGCATCGCCACAGAGTTGCCAGACAGCGATGGGCAGCAAATGGGGCCAATCTTGGCAACAGGACATGGCCAGATGTCATTTTTTCAGATGAATCCAGGTTTAACTTATCCTTTGCAGATGGACGTCAACAGATTTATCGAGGTAAAGGAGTAAGACTTGCGCCAAACTGTGTCCTTGAACATGATTGTTTTGGAGGGGATGGTGTCATGATCAGACCACAGACCATCAGAGGCTGCAGACCATCCAACAGCTGTTCCTGAGAAATGTGTGTCTTTCAATGCCCCCAAGACTGCGAGCATGTCTTGCAGCGCACGGTGGACACACACGATATTGACTGCAAGTGACCCCTCCTTTGTGTGATGTCGTTGTTGCGTCACTGATGTTGTTGTTGACTGGAAATTTTCAGATGAAATTATGCACAGATGTTCACTTAAAACATATCTGCCAGTTAGGTTTATATATGTTGAACTTAGTGTGAGTAAAGAAAGTATGAATGTCAAATTGCATTTTTAATGGCTTTCAGTATAGCTGTAGGTGTAAATTAACTTTAACTGTCAGGAGGACTCAAGTAAGTGGACATGGTATACATATTATAGTGTGAGCACGTGCACATCTTAAATCACTGCATGGTGCGCCCGAAGGGTCACAATAAACATACAAGTAGTGAGTGAGTGAGTTAAGATTTAAACGCACTTCGGCAATATTTCAGCCACATCGTTACTAAAACTAGTTCGAAATTTATAATACATACATATAATATATAAAACCCTGTCAACGAAGGACAGTAAAACCACTAGATTATCACAGACTGAGTTAAAACTAGCTAGCATATATCTTTAAAAGTAGAATAATATTTCTGGACAATACAATGTAAAATTGGGCTATAGATCGCCAACAACTGAAGGTAGATCACCATACTAGGGACCATGGGGACTTACAGTACCTTGGCTACCTGCATGGACCCTAGTTGGATTTACACCATCCCTTCAGCTGCTGGCGATTGTAGGATGTTAGCCAAAATTAAAATGACAAGAATGCTACGTTTAAAAATCATACAAGTAAACATAATTAGGATATGAATATAAATGGTCATATGGGAGTTAAAATCATTGGTGTTGTAATACGTTTTTCCCCTGTGTATATGTTCATCAGATCTGCAGGTAGGTGTAACGGGTAGTTGACTTGATATGTAATTTATTGATATTTGTAATATTTTTTTGCCTTTTGCTTTTGCCTTGTCTGTTGCCTCAGATCTAAGACATACGATCTAACCATGGATTTCGTATCGCTATAAGGGAACAGAAGTGGTGCCACTTTTTTTTCCCACTTTGCCGCTTTTTTCACTCAGTGCTTCTTTCAAAAAGCGTGTTACTAATGATTCCCACTTGGCTGGATAACGAACAAGAAGACAGTGTTGTGATGGCCAATAGCAAAATTCTTTTTAATTTAATTCAAATAAAAGTGGATGATTATAAGACTGATTATTAATTGAATGAAGGAAAGAAAGAGAGTCCAAAAATATTTTGAATTGTTGGCACTTCGATTGTTTATTTACATACTCTTGTACCGTTAAGATGGCCTTCATATTCGTATTTGGTCCTGATCCAGTGAGGGTGGCTGGCAAGTGTCACCATCCTTGGATCCACACGTAAACATTGAGCAAGATAAATTAATAACGCTCTAAATACGCCGGATTAAGTAAACATGAATTTTGTGTCATGATACTTATAAACATACGTTCATTCATCTACAACTTCCAAAACATAAATTCTGAGCAAAAGTATAAATAGTCCCGCACATGTGCAAGGTAGTGTATATTTTGTGCTGTATAAACAATTTATTTTCATTATTGTCATCCTTAGCATATATTTATTTTGACTGCCTGGTGAATGGGCAATTCCTTTCTCAGATACTTGCCACAGTGCCCTACAGAGTTTCTGTAATTTGGGGTTTCCAGAATTAAATTGTGATGTGTTGATATGTATTTCTAATTTGATTCCTTTGAGAGTGTTACGTGTTCATCCCCAATTTGAAACTAAAATCAACCCGTAAGTGGTCAACAAAGAAACATCATGTGATTAACACCTTTATTCTAACACATACTAAGTTCTTACATCACTACAAATCACTACAAAGGTATCAGCATGTCAGTACAAAATTAAGTAGAAGCACAAATTCAGGAACAGTAGCCATGAACAATAGAAATAGGTGAAACCTCAAAACCCTAAACCAGCTATGCCTCCCAGAAGCTCAATAACGCGAGACAAGGAAGTGTAGTAAGTACGATAACTCATTACTATTAAATATGCATGACGTCACGATTGGGAAAAGTCACATTACTCGATTATTGTTCAAATGCGCTTATGCAATTTATCACCCCACCCTGAATGAAGCAAAAACTAAAAATGTAGAAATGACATCCATGTATCGATATGGTGCCCAAGACGTGGAAAGATGTTTTTCTTTTGTCCAAAGACCTCATGAGACTTAGGAGCTTGGGACTCTCCAGATGCTCCAGTCTCCAGATGTGTTAAGCACATTGTGGTGGCACAATACGGACTGAGGTTGGCCACGCCCAACAGACGCACGCAGTTTAACGACCTCACTAAACACGTATCCTGATAATTGCGAATATTTACAGTGTTTGGAACATCAGTCAAAAGCACGACAGAGTGATGAAACCCAATGATTTGATACCCACGGTGTGGTAGCAACCTGATGTCAGGTGATCGTTGATGAATTGTATCGGGATGTTCGCAGGCGAAACTTTTGCAATGTACTTATACATAATTATCCATTTCACCATATACAAAATACACACTTCGGGGTAAAATCTTGAAACACTTGATTTGAATGCCAACCTGTAGGCAGAATCAACCTGGACAACAAGTTGACGAACCAGAGCGCTACATTATCCGACAAAGGTGTCCAAGCACATCAGATTATGCAAGTGTCTGGCCATAAGAACATCCAGTCAATTTGTAGATACTCCACAATAAATTAACATCCAGTCCAAAACTTTAATAAAGTCCTGTCATCTTCTATGTACAGTCAACAAGCGTGTTTGATAAGTCCTCCTACAATCCCAGATGTACATGTTCTCTGCACAGCGCCATGTGTCCCATCGGCCACAACCCTTGAAGATCCTGGTTAGAACTGATATTCAGCAACCTATGCTTGTCGTAAGAGGCGACTGGCGGGATCGGGTTTTCAGACTCGCTGACTTGGTGGACACGTGTCATTGTATCCCAGTTTTGTAGATGTTGTTCATAATTGGAGACTGTCTGGTCCAGACTCGATTATTTACAGGCTGCTGCCATACAGCTGGAATATTGCTAAGTCCGGCGTTAATTTTGAACAACAAACCAACCAACCAACCCTTCGCCAACACTTGAGTTCGAACGACTCAGGACACTCCACTAACGACATTCCTCTGCCGGTCGTAAAGACATGAATTCACAGTGATTCTGACTCGGAATTTGTCCGTACAGACATCAATAATATTGCTTAACCTCATTAAATCTGGTTGTTGCCGGTCCTGGTTTTAGCTGTTTCACACCAAGTTGGGTGATTCATCCCGACACAGTAATAGCAATCGTTCGTTCAAGTCTATCAACGTTTCCTTTCTTTTCACCTGGAAACCTGACGTTTCATATTATTGGTACAAGTTGTTCATTTTTTTGGTAGAATGACACATTTGACAGGTCTTCTAAAACAATCTCGATTTGAAGACCTGCTGAACTTTTCTTTTAACATTGTCTATTATTATAAGTAATACAATGTGTAAATGAAACAAAAATATATCTACAACTGTTTGATCTGTAAAGGTTTCAACAGAACGCCAGTTTTCACGCGTAACAACAGTCACAGTAGACAGTGTTTTCTCAAACACGGATTGATACAAAACAGATGATGTTTTTTTACTTTTTGTTAAATATCTCTTGATTGTAAAGTGAGTTCCTTTAATGGTAGATGTTTTTCTTTCAGTTTGAACTATGCAGATATCAGAAGCAGCTTTAATATACTTATAAACTATGAGGTATCCCCTATATCTGGGGCTGCACGGAATCTTGTAACCAGGACAACAGTTGCCAGGAAGTCCGTCCGAGGAGTAGACATTACAGGACATTTCTTTCACTTCAACCAGTGAGTAAATGCAGACGAGGAGATTATTCTTGTATGTGTATATTGTTGTCATTCTTTTGTTCACGGTTATGTTCTGATATAAATAGTTGGTAAATAGTCTTAAGAATACAAACTTACAGGTAAGAGATGAATTTTTTTAGGTAACTACGGAGTGATTTTTATGTAATAGTAGACTTTGATCGTAGATTTTCTATATGGCTTCTACTGTTAATCAACTTCTCGTTTCAATGTTCCTAACTATCTTACACAGCTGCCGTGTATACAAAAGCACGAATTTATGGACTACTTCTTAATAATATCTCACCATTTCTCTCATGTTTATGCCCTCGATACTACATCCTCGGGACCAAAAGTCACACTTACACTCGGCTGTACACGTCTATAGTGACGCCCCATTGTCATATCTTTCTGGCGGATCTTGGTGCTGGGCCAGCACTGCACGTCGTACAAGTTCCCAAAGGTTGCAAACCCGTCCTTTTGTTACTGACAATTGTTTCAACTGAATTAAGATTCTGTCTATATACGTATATATGTCCGTTAAAACATGTTTTGTTCAGATCAACATTGATCATATGTATAATCACTGCTTACCGTTCTTTGCAGATACAAAATCCTTGAGATTTGCCAGTCGTTTGAATTAGGCACTTTATTACTTATCTGTGTTGTAAAGAGTTTCCTAAAGAGGGTATTTTGTTATGTGGCGTTCGTACAATACTTTGACAGTGGCAGACAGTATGTACGTCCTGGTGCAATTTTTCATGGTGTCTTTAAAGGAATAAAGCATAGAAAATACATACGTCCTTTGTATCTTCATTCTTACCACTTACATTTATACAGCTTCTTGATATTGCTCAGATGAAAATCTTCTTCCAGGTATGAACGCACAAACATCACACAGTTGCTAGGGGATATTGTCAGCTCAAGACATAGGAAAGCTCGTGCCCAAACACTTCCTGCCCCTGTCAATGTCCTGGGCATCAGACGGATACTCGGTGATGTTGGCGACAGCCTGTATCCGCTTTACCGTACACCGACACACACAGAGGTAGACTACACCGTGATCACAGGTAATAGATGCCACAATACCAGATAGATACGATCAATGTTTGATAACATCAAGGTGTTTCTGTACCACAACATCAGATAGAGACGATCAATGTTTGATAACATCAAGGTGTTTCAGTGCCACAATATCAGATAGAGACGATCAATGTTTGATAACATCAAGGTGTTTCAGTGCCACAACACCAGATAGATACGATCAATGTGTGATCGCATCAAGTGTTTCTGTGCCTCAAAACCAGATAGAGACGATCAATGTTTGATAACATAAGGGTGTTTCAGTGCCACAACACCAGATAGAGACGATCAATTTTTGATAACATCAAGTGTTTCAGTGCCACAACACCAGATAGAGACGATCAATGTTTGATAACATCAAGGTGTTTCAGTGCCACAACACCAGATAGATACGATCAATGTTTGATAATATCAAGGTGTTTCTGTGCCGCAACACCAGATAGATACGATCAATGTTTGATAACATCAAGGTGTTTCAGGGCCACAATACCAGATAGAGACGATCAATGTTTGATAACATCAAGGTGTGTCAGTGCCACAACACAAGATAGAGACGATCAATGTTTGATAACATCAAGGTGTTTCTGTGCCACAACACCAGATAGATACGATCAATGCTTGATAACATCAAGGTGTTTCTGTGCCACAACACCAGATAGATACGATCAATGTGTGATCGCATCAAGTGTTTTTGTGCCTCAAAACCAGATAGAGACGATCAATGTTTGATAACATCAAGGTGTTTCAGTGCCTCAACTCCAGATAGAGACGATCAATGTTTGATAACATCAAGGTGTTTCAGTGCCTCAACACCAGATAGAGACGATCAATGTTTGATAACATCAAGGTGTTTCAGTGCCACAACACCAGATAGATACGATCAATGTGTGATCGCATCAAGTGTTTCTGTGCCTCAAAACCAGATAGAGACGATCAATGTTTGATAACATCAAGGTGTTTCAGTGCTTCAACTCCAGATAGAGACGATCAATGTTTGATAACATCAAGGTGTTTCAGTGCCTCAACACCAGATAGAGACGATCAATGTTTGATAACATCAAGGTGTTTCAGTGCCACAACACCAGATAGAGACGATCAATGTTTGATAACATCAAGGTGTTTCAGTGCCACAACACCAGATAGATACGATCAATGTTTGATAACATCAAGGTGTTTCTGTGCCACAACACCAGATAGATACGATCAATGTTTGATAACATCAAGGTGTTTCAGGGCCACAACACCAGATAGAGACGATCAATGTTTGATAACATCAAGGTGTTTCAGTGCCACAACACCAGATAGAGACGATCAATGTTTGATAACATCAAGGTGTTTCAGTGCCACAACACCAGATAGATACGATCAATGCTTGATAACATCAAGGTGTTTCTGTGCCACAACACCAGATAGATACGATCAATGTTTGATAACATCAAGGTGTTTCAGTGCCACAACACCAGATAGAGACGATCAATGTTTGATAACATCAAGGTGTTTCAGTGCCACAACACCAGATAGAGACGATCAATGTTTGATAACATCAAGGTGTTTCAGTGCCACAACACCAGATAGAGACGATCAATGTTTGATAACATCAAGGTGTTTCTGTGCCACAACACCAGATAGAGACGATCAATGTTTGATAACATCAAGGTGTTTCAGTGCCACAACACCAGATAGAGACGATCAATGTTTGATAACATCAAAGGTGTTTCAGTGCCACAACACCAGATAGATACGATCAATGTTTGATCGCATCAAGTGTTTCTGTGCCACAACACCAGATAGAGACGATCAATGTTTGATCGCATCATCAAGGTGTTTCAGTGCCACAACACCAGATATAGATACGATCAATGTTTGATAACATCAAGATGTTTTGTGCCACAACACCAGATAGAGACGATCAATGTTTGATAACATCAAAAGGTGTTTCTGTGCCTCAACACCAGATAGATACGATCAATGTTTGATAACATCAAGGTGTTTCAGTGCCACAACACCAGATAGATACGATCAATGTTTGATAACATCAAGGTGTTTCTGTGCCACAACACCAGATAGATACGATCAATGTGTGATCGCATCAAAGGTGTTTCTGTGCCTCAACACCAGATAGAGACGATCAATGTTTGATAACATCAAGGTGTTTCAGTGCCACAACACCAGATAGAGACGATCAATGTTTGATAACATCAAGGTGTTTCTGTGCCACAACACCAGATAGAGACGATCAATGTTTGATAACATCAAGGTGTTTATGTGCCACAACACCAGATAGAGACGATCAATGTTTGATAACATCAAGGTCGTGCCTCAACACCAGATTTCAATGTTTGTGCCACAACACCAGATAGAGACGATCAATGTTTGATAACATCAAGGTGTTTCTGTGCCACAACACCAGATAGAGACGATCAATGTTTGATAACATCAAGGTGTTTCAGTGCCACAACACCAGATAGAGACGATCAATGTTTGATAACATCAAGTGTTTCAGTGCCACAACACCAGTGCCACAACACCATAACATAGAGACGATCAATGTTTGATAACATCAAGGTGTTTCAGTGCCACAACACCAGATAGAGACGATCAATGTTTGATAACATCAAGGTGTTTCAGTGCCACAACACCAGATAGAGACGATCAATGTTTGATAACATCAAGGTGTTTCAGTGCCACAACACCAGATAGAGACGATCAATGTTTGATAACATCAAGGTGTTTCAGTGCCACAACACCAGATAGAGACGATCAATGTTTGATCAAAGTGTTTCAGTGCCACAACACCAGATAGAGACGATCAATGTTTGATAACATCAAGGTGTTTCAGTGCCACAACACCAGATAGATACGATCAATGTGTGATAGCATCAAGTGTTTCTGTGCCTCAACAACACCAGATAGATACGATCAATGTTTGATAACATCAAGGTGTTTCTGTGCCACAACACCAGATAGAGACGATCAATGTTTGATAACATCAAGGTGTTTCTGTGCCACAACACCAGATAGAGACGATCAATGTTTGATAACATCAAGGTGTTTCAGTGCCACAACACCAGATAGAGACGATCAATGTTTGATAACATCAAGGTGTTTCTGTGCCACAACACCAGATAGAGACGATCAATGTTTGATAACATCAAGGTGTTTCTGTGCCCACAACACCAGATAGAGACGATCAATGTTTGATAACATCAAGGTGTTTCTGTGCCACAACACCAGATAGAGACGATCAATGTGTGATCGCATCAAAGTGTTTCTGTGCCACAACACCAGATAGAGACGATCAATGTTTGATAACATCAAGGTGTTTCAGTGCCACAACACCAGATAGAGACGATCAATGTTTGATAACATCAAGGTGTTTCAGTGCCACAACACCAGATAGAGACGATCAATGTTTGATAACATCAAGGTGTTTCTGTGCCACAACACCAGATAGAGACGATCAATGTTTGATAACATCAAGGTGTTTCTGTGCCACAACACCAGATAGAGACGATCAATGTTTGATAACATCAAGGTGTTTCAGTGCCACAACACCAGATAGAGACGATCAATGTTTGATAACATCAAGGTGTTTCAGTGCCACAACACCAGATAGAGACGATCAATGTTTGATAACATCAAGGTGTTTCAGTGCCACAACACCAGATAGAGACGATCAATGTTTGATAACATCAAGGTGTTTCAGTGCCACAACACCAGATAGAGACGATCAATGTTTGATAACATCAAAGTGTTTCAGTGCCACAACACCAGATAGAGACGATCAATGTTTGATAACATCAAGGTGTTTCAGTGCCACAACACCAGATAGAGACGATCAATGCTTCTGTAACATCAAAGTGTTTCAGTGCCTCAACACCAGATAGAGACGATCAATGTTTGATAACATCAAAGGGTGTTTTGTGCCACAACACCAGATAGATACGATCAATGTTTGATAACATCAAAGTGTTTCTGTGCCTCAAACACCAGATAGAGACGATCAATGTTTGATAACATCAAGGTGTTTCTGTGCCACAACACCAGATAGAGACGATCAATGTTTGATAACATCAAAGGTGTTTCAGTGCCACAACACCAGATAGAGACGATCAATGTTTGATAACATCAAGGTGTTTCAGTGCCACAACACCAGATAGACGATCAATGTTTGATAACATCAAGGTGTTTCTGTGCCACAACACCAGATGATCAATGTGTGAGCGCCACAACACCAGATAACATCAAGATGAGAGACGTTTCAGATAGTGCTCACAACACCAGATAGAGACGATCAATGTTTGATAACATCAAGATGTTTCAGTGCCACAACACCAGATAGATACGATCAATGTTTGATAACATCAAGGTGTTTCAGTGCCACAACACCAGATAGAGACGATCAATGCATCAAGTGTTTTTGATAACATCAAGGTGTTTCAGTGCCACAACACCAGATAGAGACGATCAATGTTTGATAACATCAAGGTGTTTCTGTGCCACAACACCAGATAGAGACGATCAATGTTTGATAACATCAAGGTGTTTCAGTGCCACAACACCAGATAGATACGATCAATGTTTGATAACATCAAGGTGTTTCAAGGTGTCCAGCGCCACAACGCAAACCACGATCAATGTGTGACGCATCAAGATGTTTCTGTGCCTCAAAACCAGATAGACGATCAATGTTTGTTAACATCAAGGTGTTTCAGTGCCAACACCAGATAGAGACGATCAATGTTTGATAACATCAAGGTGTTTCTGTGCCACAACACCAGATAGAGACGATCAATGTTTGATAACATCAAAGGTGTTTCTGTGCCACAACACCAGATAGAGACGATCAATAGGTTTTGATAACATCAGGGTGTTTCTGTGCCACAACACCAGATAGAGACGATCAATGTTTGATAACATCAAGGTGTTTCAGTGCCACAACACCAGATAGATACGATCAATGGTTGATAACATCAAGGTGTTTCTGTGCCACAACACCAGATAGAGACGATC